GTTTTATTGGTAGAGGGATTGAGTTTCAGAGCCATGAGGTCATGTTGCAGCTGTACAAAACTCTGGTGCGGCCGCAGTTGGAGTATTGCGTACAGTTCTGGTCACCGCATTATAGGAAGGATGTGGAAGCATTGGAAAGGGTGCAGAGGAGATTTACCAGGATGTTGCCTGGTATGGAGGGAAGGTCTTATGAGGAAAGGCTGAGGGACTTGAGGCTGTTTTCGTTAGAGAGAAGAAGGTTAAGAGGTGACTTAATAGAGACATACAAGATGATCAGAGGATTAGAAAGGGTGGATAGTGGGAGCCTTTTTCCTCGGATGGTGATGGCTAGCACAAGGGGACATAGCTTTAAATTGAAGGGTGATAGATATAGGACAGATGTCAGAGGTAGGTTCTTTACTCAGAGAGTAGTAAGGGCGTGGAATGCCCTGCCTGCAAAAATAGTAGACTCGCCCACTTTAAGGGCATTTAAATGGTCATTGGATAAACATATGGATGATAATGGAATAGTTTAGGTTAGATGGGCTTCAGATTGGTTTCACAGGTCGGCGCAACATCGAGGGCCGAAGGGCCTGTACTGCGCTGTAATGTTCTATGTTCTGTGCTGATCTAGCCAGCAACAGCCACATCTTGCGGATTAAAAAAACGCAATAATGTTCTCAATTCCACAGCCACCTCTATCTCACAAGTAAGCATGAGAAAGCAAGTAAGCACCTCTCAAACGTTGCTCTGCGGTATCCAAGCACAACTCTCACTGATGTAGACCTGTCTCTGAGGAGAGGGCAGAAGAGAAACAGAAAACAGGGAATGAATAAATTCTAATCATCCATGTAAAAACAGAACAAGTGAAACAGAAAATCACCACTGGTTCACAGGGTGATCTGGGATAGAGAAGAGCGTACTAAATGACCTCACTTAGGGTGAGAAGATCCAACGCCAGACAGCAATTCATTCTTCCATCTTCCTCTCATCTACCATCACAGCTCAATTGGAATCCAGTGATGCATTACCAGATTATAATCTGCATTAATTCTCCTTCTGGTACTGTACATTAGAATTGGCAGCAAACATCAAATTCAAATACCCTGAAACCTGCATTAACCAAGAAACAAGAAAAGTTCAAAAGCCTAAAAGACTTTCACTGTATGTTTTAAAACAATGATGCTGCAACCATGTTTGGAATTACATCAACTGCCACTCAAATGTTTTCATGCATCACCGGTGATCCTGTCTATTTCTTTACTTTTTGCCACAGGCAGATTATAATCTGTATATTGCATTCTCAGTGGCTGAAACAGCTGAATACAAAAGCACTCCCAATAGAAAGACAGGAGTCTGGTGAACTGGTAAAGGTTCCTTCACTCTGTTGTCAAACATCTACCAGCCTCCACGAGCCAGCTCTGCATTCTCACCGATGTGGAGCTGTATCCTTATGAGAAACAGATGTTAAAGCGTCTTGCTTACCAACACATTTAGAGAAAACAAGCCCAGTACAGCATCAACATATGGACTGGAGTCCACATCCTCATTAACCGCTCACTGTGCAAACCTGTTAACTGGGACACCCTGGTGTATATTCAATCATCCCATTTATCAAATCCCATGCAGTAGGCCCTGCACATCTATACAGATCCTCACTTACTCTGTACCAACCACTCCAGATGAAAAATAACTCCTTTAAACGCTGTTCCCTTTTGAATAATTGGTGGTGTGAGGCAAGCATTTTAACAAGGCATAGACAGGAAGTCCTCCAGTTAAATCAAAAGCTTCACAACTTTGTTAACACCAAACAATATACAGCCAGTTAGAACTTTGTTACAGGCATTAGGTTGGGCCTGAACTAGCCCAGTCACACAGTCACCCTCCAGTCTGCTGGCTCATCCTGGTCAGGCATGAGGATGGAAATGATTTTTTTTGTGTTCTTTGAAGGGCTGTTGTTCAGAACTCTTGTTTCTCTATTTTTCCAATTTATTGCTGAGCTTTTTATTTCTTCATTTTTCCTTTTTTTTAACCTAAGAATTTGCACTTAAGAATCTGTACCTGGATACCTTGGTGTGCAAGATTGTGCCATAAGTGGTGATTTGTAAACTTTTCACTCTACTCATGTGACAACAAAGCTTATTCTAAATTCTACATGGGACACGGACAGCAGAATTATTTGTTGCCTATCCCTAATTGCCATTGGACTAATAGGCTCTCAATGCCATTTCACAGGACAGTTAAGAGTTTAATTTGGTCTGGAGTCACATGTAGCCACATCAGCGCACAGATTTCCTTCCCTAAAGAATATTAGTGAACCAGATGGGTTTTTTGCAACAATAGTTACATTAGACTAGCTTCTTTCATAACTCCAGACCTTTTTTAGGAATTGAATTCCAATTTTATCATCTGCCACATGTGGGTTTCAAGCCCATTCCCCCAGAACATTAGCCTGGATTGCTAAATTATCAGGGACGTTACCACTACTCCACCACCTCCCAGTGAGTGATTTGTGTATACTATGTATGGAACACTTGAATAAAATTCTAGTCATCCAGTTGACTTGACTTAATCACAGAACACTCTCTGGAGCATCTGATGTGAAACTGATACTGTCTGCCTGGTTCTCTTTTTTGCTAAAACTTTGCAATTATATAGCACCTTTCACAACCTTAGGAGTGCCAAAGTGCTTTAGAGCCAATGAGGTACCTTTCAAAAAATGTAGTCAGAACTGCACTGCAGGAAACATAACAGCCAACGTCCACACAGCAAACTCCCAAATAGTAAGAACGAAGCTAGTGTTTATTTTCAATATGTTGATTGAAAGGTAAATATTGCCCAGGACATCCAAGACCACACCCTTACTGTGTTTTGAAATAGTGCCATTGGATCTTTTCCTTTTCACATGTTATCCAAAAGCAGGCCACATGGACAGTGTAGCAATCCTTCAGTTCTGCTCTGGAATGCAGGCCAAAAACATTGTGCTCAAGTCTCTAGCATAGAGTTCAGTAATGTAGGGTTACTGTTCTTTTCACTCTTCTTGCAGCAGATAACAATTGCAAGCTTGCAAAGTCAGAATCTGTTTCTGGACCAACATTTTTAACAGGGACTTGGATGGAAGATGTGGTACTGCTCACATTTTCAAGTGTTTATTACTTAAATTTGGACAGCGACAAAGCCTATTGAGCTGCAAAGAACACAATGAGTGACCTGCCCGGAGGTGCAGCTTCTGAGGTTTTGGCTTTTCGCTGACTTATTTAACAACACATCAATAACAAGCATTAACACAAAAGCAATAGGCCAATGCAAATATCAATGATGTTAAATCATCCGTCAGCTTAGCTCAATAATATCGCTAGCTCTCAGTCAAACAGTCGTGGGTATGAGCCCCATAAGTGGGGATTTAAGAATATCTCCAATACTCCGTGTCTGCGTGGGTTTCCTCTGGGTGCTCCAGCTACCTCCCACAGTCCAAAGATGTGCAGGTTAGGAGGACTGGTGATGCTAAATTGCCCCCTAATGTGCAGGGACATGTAGGTGAGGTGGATTAGCCATTGGAAATGCAGGGTTGTGATGATACGGTGTGGGGATAAGTTTGGTTGGGATGCTCTTTAGACGGACAGTGTGGACTCAATGGGCTGAATGGCGTGATTCCACATTGATTCCACATAGTATTTATACCACAGAAATGTTTCATGGCCATTAAGTACATTAGGCCATCCTGCAATTGTGTCAGGCAGTATAAAATTGCATTTGCTTGCAGTACCAAGGTAGTATTGAACCGTCAAGATGTGCCAAATCTCAGGTGATCCATTTAGATGAAGCACTGTCTTCAGAACACAGGAAAATGAGTTTATCATTTCTAACTGAGCCTCTCCCAACACTCAGTCAGATCATGGTTGATATGCAACCTAACTCCATTTATCTGTTTTTCTTTGTCCCACGTCTCTTGATAGATTGCATGGGGAGGTGCCGGTGTTGGACTGGGGTGAACAAGGTCAAAAATCACACGACAATAAGTTATAGTCCAACAGGTTTATTTGAAGACACTAGCTTTTCGGAGTGTCTCTCTCTCTGTCTCTCTCACTCACACACACACACACACACACAAATCTATGGGGTGAATTTGCATTTGCAGATTTGTAATTACAGATACATTCTACTTTTGTTCAAAAAGTACACAATTTGTAGACAGTCAATGGGGATTTTTTTAAATTCACTCTTTGGAAATAAAACCAGTCTGACTCCAAGTTAACACACAGCCAGATCCTAAACCATGCCTCACACGTAAAATGCATTGTCTGACCTGAGATGTCACTTCTGGTATACTGATAAAACATTTAGTTATCTTTGAGCAGTGACTTGAAAGAAGTTCTGGGATTTGCATATTAATCCTTTCTAACTGATTAAAGATATAATAGCCAGCTCAGGTTTGTTCAATACATTCACATCAGTGCTATGACTCTTTGATCCTTTGCTTATAAATTCTGCGTCTGATACCACCTCTCTCACTGACACCTGAAGAAGGAGCAAGTCTCTGAAAGCTTGTTTCTTCAAGTAAACCTGTTGGACTATAACCTGGTGTCGTGTGGTTTTTGATCTTGATAGGTTTAAGAGATTTATTTTTCACCGAGGCCCATCTTAAAATGATCAATTCATCCAGCATTCATTGCCGCTTGCGGAAGAGAGTTTGAAACCTCTACAGTCCCTTGTGTAAAATTAAGTCTTAATTTCATTCTAACCTGCTAGATCTGGTGAAAATAAAATATTTTGGTCACCCCTTATTCCTATTGATGCTGAAAAGGTATTGTGAGATGTCATACACCTGTGGTCATTGTTTGCTCTTCGGCTTCTTGTAGCTAAAGACAGACAGAGAGGGTTAGGAACAGTCTCTTACAGACTACAGAGTGTGTGTGTGTGTGTGTGTGTGTGTGTATTCAGGAAGACGTAAAACAGCCTTCATTATAGTATCAGCAAATATTGCTCAACTTTTTATTTTACAACGACACAATGAATTTCATAGAAAAATACCAGCAGGATTGATTACATCTCATGAGTCCATCATTCTCTGTTAATAGACTGGGGCTACGTCAGTGCTGGTCTGAATAATTTCATTTAGAAAAGGGGTTTGGTTCAAAGTGATTACTGATGAAATCAAAACAAATGCCACTAAAAATGAAGCATCATTTATTTATCCAGTGATTATATTGACATGTGAAGTGTTGTCAGGAGATGTTGTCATGTGGGGCTGGACAAAAGAGGGTAGTCAAAGATAGCCCAAAGCTGAGTTAGCTGATCAAAGTCCCAAGACACAGGCAGCGTTACCAAAAACTCTCGTTTCCTGCAGTTTTAAAAAGCAGCGGACCAGCAGTATTTGCATACGTTATGGCTCAGTTGCTGACTAGAATTGCGTTTATATGTAGAAAATAATATTTCATCCATTTCCACCTGAACATCTGGAGAGACCCCTAAAAAAATCAGAGTCAGCTCATTACTTCAGCTTTGCCAGCACTAAATTACCAGCCTTTCAAGGACATGGGTGACACCACAGCCTGCTGTAAAACACAAGGTGGAGAGTATCAGGTGAGCAATCACCATCAAATTGCAAGTCTGGCAGTTCTAGATTTTAACCGAATCAATCCCTTCAGACCGGGCACTCTTCTCTAACCAGAAAAACAGAATCAAATCGCCGCCAGCTGAACCTCTCCACGCATCTTCAAGGTCACTATCACAGGACATATCTTCAGCTGGTTAATTTCATGTTTGTCATCACAAATCTGAAAAGCAGAGGAAACGCACTCACTTTCTCCAGATACAAGGATGAGGGAACAAAATACTGATCTTTCCAGTCTTCTTCAGCAAACTCTTTGGGAAAGCGTAGCCACATTTTTCGGCTCCTCCGCTACTTTTGGTTTTGGTATTGATTACTTTCTCATTATATCACATCCCAGAGTTATCCACCACCCCAAAATCCTATCTCCAAAGTCGAGATGTGACCTTGCACTTCAACTTCCCCTTCCCCGATTAGGATGAGAAGGAACTACTCTCTTCACTGTGTCCTCACACAACCACATCAACTGTCAATTCTCCGACCCCCAGTGAGGTCCTGATATCGTGTTTTAAATGGAAATGTAAATCAGGCAGCACTACCAAATCCCCTCTCTCAACGTTTATTGATCCAGCTCCTTTTTGAACTTAGAACTAAATCAAGGACTCAACAACTTGTTCTTGGCAGTCAGTTTCATTTATCTGATGGACTTATTAAGTTTATTTATTGATAATAAGATCCCTGTTGAAAATATTGTACAGATCAGTAAGCATGTATCTGCAAAAGCAAAGAACTAGGAGGCAGTGCATGCATTTCAGTGATAATCAATAGAATACAAATGTCAAAATGTGGATTTCAAAAGAAAATTCTGAAATAAAAAAAAAATTAATATTCCAGTCCTCAAGTACAATTTGTGATTGAAATTCAAAATGTTCCAGCGATGGGTTTGTAAACTGCAGCATCTCACTGGAAATGCAGTCTTCAGCAATTTGGTGTTCAGTTCAGCAGAGCTTCAAACCACCTTCCAGCACCTATTACAAATTCGCACATTTCACACAATGCCTGTGCAGGGAGTGTCTATAGGCTATTTAAGCACAAAAATATCACAAGTCACAGTAGGCACTGGGGTAACAATCAAGAATACAAACACTGGCTCATTTTTCTACTGGACAGCTCTGAGGTGCTGAGGCTCAATAATCGCATCTCTTTTTTGCCCTGACTGGTAGTGACTCATTCAGACCTCTAGACAAATCTGAGTTCCATCAAATGATCAATCTTCCAAGTCAACTGCTCAAGAAGAACCAGATCCTGCTTGACCTGGTGTTAAACACTTTGACTTACATCCCAAACATCAATAAGATCATCTAATTCCACTGCTACTCCATCTCATTCCCTCATTTGCAGATAATGCTTGGACACAACCTTCCTATTAGCTAACCTGCAGCTCATTCAAAACTGCAAATCCATCACATTTACCACTGCTGACCAACACTTTCTCCCTGTCCCTCATCATATTGAATTTATTTTCATTTATGAGTTATGGGTACCACTGACTAGGTCAGAATTCAATGTCCATCCACATTGTTGTGAATTTGCAGTCTCATAGGATTTATGGACATTTTGAGATTAGGGATACTCAGCATGGTCTTGTGTGAGGAAAATCATGTCTCACAAACTTGACTGAGTTTTTTGAGGAAGTTTGCAAAAAGGTTGATGATGGCAGATTTTAGTAAAGCCTATGACAAGGTTTCGTATGGTAAACTAAGTAGTAAAGTGAGGTCACATGGGATTCACGGTAAGCTTGCCAACTGGATGTATAATTGGCTTAAAAGTAGGAGACAGAGAGTAATGGTGGAGGTTTGCTGTTTGGACTGGAGGTCTATGACCAGCGGTGTTCCACAGGGATCAGTTCTGGGCCCTCTTTTGTTTGTCATTTATGTAAATGATTAGGATGAGAATATAGAAGGCATGGTTGGTAAGTCTGTGGATGACACCAAAGTTGGTGGCATAGTAGACAGTGAAGAAGGTTTTCTAAGATTACATCGGGATCTTGATCAAATGGGTCAACGGGCTGAAAAATGGCAGATGGAGTTCCATCTGGATAAATGTGAGGTATTGCATTTTGGTACAACAAACAAGGGTAGGGCTTATACTGTTAATGGTAAGGCCTTGGGTAGTGTTGTAGAACAGAGGGAGCTGGGATGCAGTTGGCATCACATCTAGACAAGATGGTTAAAAAGGCATTTGGCATGCTTGCCTTCATAGCTCACTCCTTTGAGTATAGAAATTGGGAAGTCATGTTGACGTTTTACAGGACATTGGCGAGGCCTCTTCTGGAATACTGCGTCCAGTTCTGGCCACCCAGTTATAGGAAGGATATTATCAAGTTGGAGAGGGTTCAGAAGAGATTTACCAAGATGTTGCCAGGTATGGAAGTTTTGAGTCATAAGGAAAGGCTGGATAGGCTGGGACTTTTTTCACTGGAACGCTGGAGGCGGAGAGGTGACCTGATAGTAGTTTATAAAATAGTCAGAGGTATAGATAGAGTTGATGATAGTTGTCTTTTCCGTAAGGTGGGGAATTACAAGACAAGGGGGCACATTTTTAAGGTGAGAGGAGAGAGATTTAAAAAAGACATAAGAGACAATATTTTTTTACAGGGAGGGTTGTTTGTGTGTGGAATGAACTTCCTGATGAAGCAGTGGATGCTGGTACAATTACGTTTAAAAGACATTTGGATGGAGAGACGAAAAGGAAAGATTTGGAGCGATGTGGGCCAGGAGCAAGCAGGTAGAAATAGTTTAGTTTGGGATTATGTTCAGCATGGACTGGTTGGACCGAAGGGTCTGTTTCTGTGCTGTTTGACTCTATGACTCTGTGTAGACCAAAGCAGGTAAGGACCAGATTTCCTTCCGGAAAGGGCATTAAGAACCACTTAGCTTTTTTACAACAGTCGGCAAAAACCAATGACATAATCACTCATTTTTTTATTACAGACTTCTTTAAAAAAATACAAATTTCACCATCTGCCATGGTGGTATTTGAAATAATTTCCCCAGAACACTGAAATGGGGTCCTGGTTTGCTCACCCAGGAACATCACCGCAGCACCACTGCCAAACCCTTGACCCCGTGGAATTCTTTTACAGCTCATAGTCCTGAAACCATTTTTGTTTCCTCCCCTCACACCTTCCACTCTCCAACTCTTGCCTCGAGTGTGCTCCTACTATCTGACAAGAGGCCCCCAGATCACAGCCCCAAACTTTTGAACCTTCTCCTCTTCACTTTTACTTTTCTGTTGAAGTGTTTCGTCAGCAAAGCAAACTCTTCCATCACCATCGGATTCTGTAATCTGCTTTTTCCCTATCCCTGCAAAATTCCTTGGGAATATTCAATACACCGTCTCAAAGTCTTAACTGTGGCTCACAAATATCTCACAGGGCTTTTAATCAGAGTCTCTGGCTGTGGGTTTAAATCCCACTCCAGAGACAGGTACAATAATGCTAACGATGATGTTTTAGCACAGCACTGGAGGTGTTATACTGATGGAAGTGACATCCTTTGGAAGAGAGTTTAAGCCGATCTTGCATCTGCTCCCTCACTCAGAGGATAGAACAAATCCCATTGTCCATCTTTCAAAGGTTTCCCATTCTCACAATTTGCCCGACTGTCTGGGCCACTACTTATCCCTTAACCAACATCACAGAAAACAAACACAAAAATTATTGATCATTATCGCATGGCTGCTTCTGGAACCGTGCTGTGTGCAAATGTATTTTTCCTAATTTAAATGCACCTTAAAAGTACTCCTTGGCACACTTTGTTGATATCTTCATGGGTTATGAAGGATGCTCAAGCAAATGCAAATTTGGCTGTTCTTTATTTTTATATTGTTGTTGAAAAGCTAAGTACTGCACCAGCTTATGTCCTTTACTCGAAACGTCATTGAAGAAACTCACTAATTTTCACATTACATTTACAGATTGGAACTAAATTACAGATTACAATAGTCAAAGCAACGGATTATTAGAACTGAGGAGAGAGTGAACCTATGCACAAATATGATGTTCGGCAATTGCCTAGCGCATACTATAAAGCCACACTCCAGGCTAATGCATCAGCACTGACATTACAGGCACTTAACATATAGCAACATCACCAGAAACTATCTAACATCATTGGTTTAGGCAAGATTCCAAATTCAGTCACTGCATTATACATCTATTGTACTAAAGGGTTACGTACTAATGAAAGTATAATTTAGTACTATCACTGGGAGTATCTATATTATGTGATAAATAACATAGTAACAGGAATGTTAAACTGATCTGTACCACCACCAGAAGGAGACTGTTGAAATTTCAAAAAAAATCTGGTGTTCGACAGAGCACTTAACAAAATGATATCGTCTGCAGTGAAATCTGATAAGCCAGTTTTTTTTTAATTGAATCTGCAGCATTATATCTTCCTGCCCACAGAAACAAAATTAGTTGAAATGCTCTTCTTAAAAAAATTGTGTTGATTCAGCTCCTTTGCTTTTGCTCAAAATGACAGAACTGGATGCTGACAAAACCCAGTTCCATTTTAAAAATAAAACACAGTTCAACCTTTAAGCACTGCATTTGCCTTGCTGTTTTTTTTACACAAAGAACCAGGTTTACAAAGGCACTTTACAGAAGCATAAATAAAGTCACATATTTATGAATGAGAAAAGGCCACATACGTATTGAAAGAGCATTGGTCAAAGAAAAGTCAGTTTGCCGAGTTGTCTTCGATCAGTTTAAAGTTCCGTGTTCCAGCCAGAATCTACATATTCAAACTTCAGCCATTTGATTGAAAATTATTATTTTCACACAATCGTTTCATTTCCAACAAACACAATGAAGTTGCATATTGGAAATGGTATGATTCTATAAGCTTTGCATGCTTATTTTAAGAACACATTATTCACCTAAGTATTGACATTATATAAGTGGAATCCAAAAGAACAGAAACTAGATTTATATTATATTGAGATCATCACACACAGACTTTATTTGTGAAAATGTGCATCAATGTGGCCACATTCCTTGAAAAAATACAAATGTGATATTTCAAAAAGGAATTTACAGAAGAGTTTAAATATCATTTAATACACAGTCAAGTCTGCCCCAGCTGAAACCATTGATCAAAAAGAACTCAGTGTGGACAAGTGACATTTAGAAGCATTTATAAGCCTACCTGCTTGTTGTACTTTGGAGGATTGGTCTTGTAACTGCAATCAGAGTACTGGTCGGAGCCAGTCGAGTTGTTGTCCCCAGTCCCAACGAAGGTGTTAGTAGCTGGAAGGTCTTGCACAACTTGGTGCTTCTTCCCAGCAGTGGGTGATTGTGGGTGCAGTTGAATGGATGGCAGTGGAGAGTTCGACCTGTAGTGTCTTCCAAGGTCAGGGCTCCCTGGGTTACAGTTTAGTGGTAGATGAATCCGTGGACTGTCGCTGCTGGATTCATTGATCAAGTTGAACTGTAATCCCCTTTGGGTTCCAGTCTCATCATCCTCCAGTGGTTTGGTGGGTTTTGGGGGTTTGTTTTTCTTGATTTTGTGCTTAGCATTTTTATTGGTCTGTTTTGGAGCATACAGATCCTTGTTTTCTTTTTTGCCAGCCTGATAGCCACTTTTGGCTTCCTTCTGCCTGCAGTAACGGATCAATACCACGATCACAATCACCAATATGACGGCAATAATCCCAGCGATCACTCCGAACAAGACGTTGCTTCGCTGCTTACTCTTCTCATACTCGGGATCTCCTGCAATGTCCACATCAAGTGGTGTGTTGAGACTGTGGCCCACCAAAGCCTCCACTTGGCTGACGTTTCCCATTGTATCATTTACATAAATGTGCACTAGTGCTGTAGCAAAACGAGATGGTGTACCTCCATCCTTCACCCTGACCACAAGCCTGTGCAAGCCGTAGTGTCTCCGTGAAATTTCCTTGTCCAACAATATGCTTCCATCATGAGAGATATGGAACAGGCCAAAGGGATTCCCACCTACAATACTGTATGTCAAGTTGGCATTGGTTCCAATGTCCATGTCTTCAGCCTTTACCTGCTCCACCGATGTCCCTATTTGAGCGAGGGGGTTGATATGCTGGAAGGAGGAATTGGAAGGTTGGGTGATGACGGGAGTGTTGTCATTTTCATCTAAAACGTTGATGGTGACACTGACGTAAGCTGACCTTGGAGGGTTCCCACTATCTATTGCCTTCAGCTGGAAGGTGTAGGTACTTTGACGTTCTCGGTCAAAGGAGACACGGGAAAGGATGGTGCCCGTACCATTTTGTATCTCAAACTCACCATTATCCGGATCCACAAAGAGAGATATTTGAGCATTCATGTCCTTATCTGCATCCGACACAGTGACCATGCCAACTGGACTCGATGGAGGGAGATTTTCTCGCACCGAGAAACTGTAGCTATTCAGCATGAATTTTGGGTCATTATCATTTTCATCCAGTACACTGACCACTACCGTGGCTGTACCTTTAAGGCTGGGGGTGCCCTTATCTGCTGCAGCCACCTTGAACTCATAATGCTCCTTCAGCTCACGGTCAAGAATGGTATTGACCCGAATCTCTCCAGTGTCTGCGTCGATGTCAAATAAGCCGCTGATGGAAGGGTCTGGCTGTAGAGAGTAGGCCAGCTCAGCATTGCTGCCACTATCAGCATCTGTGGCCTCCACTTTGACGATAGGAATGTACGGCTGGTTGTTTTCGTGGATGGAGACCCGGATGACATTTTGAGTGAAGATTGGAGGGTTGTCATTCACGTCTACCACCTGCACTTTCAGAGTGTTGCTGCTGGATAACGGTGGGTTTCCAGAATCGACTGCCACAACTTCAATCAGGTAATCCTGGACAGACTCGTAATCCAGTGGCGTGGTGGTCTGCAGGAAGAATTTCTTCTTTCTCTCACTGCTGGGCTCACTGGCTGGTTTCAGCTGAAAGGGTACGTCCCCAGCTACAATGCATGTGACAGCTGCGTTCTCACCTTCATCCCTGTCTGAAACCTGGACCAGGGCCACAGGGGAGTCAACAGGCACATCCTCATCAATGTTCGCAACCCCATCCTTGTGGGTGACCAGCCCAATGCCACGAATCTCAATGGTGGGGGCATTATCATTCTTGTCCCTGACGGTGATGGTCACTGCAGCCCTGTCCTGTTTGGGAATGGGGGCCTTGTCTCGGGCATGGACAAAGAATCTGAACTGGTTAATCTGCTCACGGTCCACCGGTCCCTGCACCGTGATCCAGCCACTGCTTTTGTCCAGCCTGAGCAAGCGGCGAGCACTCTCAGCAGCCTGGGCGAACGTGTACTCAATCTGGGAATTGTCACCCAAGTCCAGGTCATTAGCTCTCACCTGGAGGATGGAGGTGCCAACTGGGCTGTTCTCTTCCACCGTGCCTTCATAGGAGGACCGCTCAAACTTGGGGGCGTTGTCGTTGATGTCCAGCACAGTAATGCGGAGGATAGCTGTGCTGGCCCGCGAGGGTTTTCCCCCATCCACCACTCGGATGGTCAGGTCATAGGTGTCCCTCTGCTCTCTGTCCAAGTGCCCAGTCACTATCAGCTGGGGCAGCTTCTCACCGTGTTCCTCAGCTACCTGCAAGCTAAACAAACCATGGGCTTCATTGCCAAGAAGCTCATAACTGGCCACTCCGTTTGTGCCAGCATCACGGTCAGTGGCAGTGGGGATATTGACAATAGTACCCGCTGTAGTGTGCTCTGGGATAGAGATGGAAATAACCGGTGAGCTAAAGCTGGGGGTGTTGTCATTGATATCCAGAATATGAATCTTGCCTTCCATCAGTATCGGCACTGAGTTGAACAGAGTGTTGGTCACTGAGACCTCAAACTCTAAGAAACACTCCAGGGGTCTCTCACAGTTCATCTCCTCCCTGTCTATGGGGGTCTCAGTGGTGTACAGGTTCCCTCCAGTCTCGTCCACTCGCAGGTAAGGAGTGCCAATCTCCAGCTTGAACAGTCTGTTGATCTTGTCTAGCCCCAGGGTCTCACCCGGGTTCCCGATCAGGGTATTCGGCGGCTGTTCCTCTGGGAGGGAAAATTTCACCACGCTCTGTGCCTGACAAGGGGGCACGGGCCACAGTAGGAGCAGGAGAGAGAGGAGCCCCGCTACCCCCGGAGTATGGATTAGATCCATCACCTTCAATAAGTCCACTCTAATCTGTGGTAGAAGAGATTGCAAATCAGTAATAAAGCGAACATTTCAAAAAAACACACACACACTAATATATTTGTTCATTAAAATACCAATGCAAACATTCTGATTACATCCTGTCGACCGATGCATTTTAAAGAGGTTCCAGTCAGCCCTATCGATACTGTCATTAAGTTTGAACACAGAGTTATATTGTAGCATCAGAAATCCCCCATTTCCCAACTGCACGACTCACGGATTTATAAAGCAAGTTGTAAAATACTGCGGACCAGGCATGGCAAAAGAGATTGTTCCTGAGCCTGTCCTTTTACAAACTGCAAAGCACACTCACAGAGACAGACAGACAGATACACACACACGCGCGCGCACAAACACACACACACAGATACAGATAGAGACACACAGAGATACAGAGAGAGGTACAGACAGAGACAGATTTGCACATACAGAGAGAGACAGAGACAATCACTCATAGAGAGAGACACAGAGAGGGAGAAACACACAAGAGACATGCACAGAAACAGAGAGATTGAGAGAAAGACAGACACACAGATATGCAGAAGGAGACACAGGCACAAAGACACACAGACATACAAAGAGAGAGGCAGACACAGAGAGACAGAGGTAGCAGGCTGTGAGCGGCAGTAATTCCTAGATATTTGGACGCACTGTCTCACTGCTGCTGTGGTGAGTGCACACTCATAGGGAAATGAAACGCTTCAATCCTGGAGAGTAATTCTTCCCAGGGAGTGTTGGAGGCAGGAAGCTGAAGGAGGGTTTGAGGGAGGGAGGGAGGGTTTGAGGACTGTGTGTGTGTGTGTGTGTGTGTGCATGTATGGGTGTGTGTGTGTGTAGGTGTGTGTGGTTGTGGATGTGTAAATCTGTGTGTGTATGCATCTCTGTGCATGTGTCTCTTTGGGTGTGTGTAACGTGTGCATGTGTGTGCCTATCTGTGTGCGCGTATCTGTGTGTGTGGATGTGTGTATCTGTGTTTGTGGGGGTGTGCGGGTGTGGGTGTGTATGTGTGTGGCAGGGTGTATGCGGGGTGTGGGGTGTGTGTGTGTATGTGTGGGTGTGTGTGCCTGTATGTGTGGGTTTGTGTGTATGTGGGGGGGTGTGTATGTGGGTGTGTGTGTGTGTGTCTGTATGTGTGGGTTTGTGTGTATGTGGGGGTGTGTGTACGTGTGTGGGGGGGCTGTGTGTGGGGGGGGGAGGGGAGTGGGGGTGGCTGTGTGTGTGTGTGTGTGTAGGGTCGGGGGGTGGGGGCTGTGTGTGAGAGAATCCCGGGCAGGAGCTTGGGTGCCGGGTTCAGCGGGCAAAGGCAGGGAGCAGGGAGTCTCAGGGAGGTTGGCCACAGGTACATCCAGCCCCCTCCGGAGTTGGGGATAGAGCCCGGGAGGGTGCAGGTCCCGCGGGGTTGGTCAGGTCCCGATCAGGAAACCGGGGAGATCACAGACCCCACCCTGCGGGGCGGGAGGGGGGGAAGATCCCCTCATCACCGGCCCCAGGTTTCACAAGGACCCCTTGATCCCCAACACATCCACTCCCACAGCCCTCACCCCCACACACACACCCACACACAGTTCCGAGCCCCACAGCCCCGAACTCCCCAGTCCCGACCACCCCCCCTCACACTCCCACCCCCTTAGTCCTGAACCCCCACAACTGCCCCCATCTCTACACACAGAACCCTCAGTCCCCACACACCCACCCCTCAACACAGTCCCAGCCCAGGCTCCCTTCAGTTCCCACAGACCCCCCCACTCACACCTCTCCCCACACCACCTACCCCCAGGCTCTAACGCACCTTCCCCCTTTGCTGCTCCAGAGCTGAAACCCCACAGCGCGCTGCTCTCAGCAACACAATCTCCTCCTCCCAGATTAAGGCTGGCTCCAAACATTTCCAGTTTATTTTCTTTTAAAAGGAACACCATTAGCACCTTTTATTGCAACCTGCCCCTGCTCCTTACCTCGGCCACTGAGTCGGTTCGCTCACATCAGCCCGGCCCCACTGTCTCAGCGAGTTTGCCTCTCTCTCTATGTCTCTATCTCTCCTCACACACACTCCCTCTCTCTCTCTCACATTCTCCCTCTCTCTCTGTATTCTAGTGAAACTGAGTCACTGTCCGCGCTGCGCGTCACATACACACACTCTCTGTAACTCAGCCCCATCCAGAGGGAGGGAAGGGTGTGTGCTTGTGTGTGTGTGAGAGAGAGAGAGAGACGGGGCAATTGATTCCCTGAATCTTCCACACTTGTTTTCAATAATAAACTCTTTCTATATATATATACACACACACACAGATATAAAACCGCGGGGATAGCCGCATCGTTCTCATGATGAAACTGACATTGATGCAAATGAACAAAACTGGGCTCCTTTTAAAAAATATGCCCATTTATATAATTACAGAAAGACAGGAGCAACACATGATTGCAAGACTGAAATCTGGTCTTACCGCATTCCAGCAAATTCTCACTTCGGAGAATCGGAGCCTGCTAGATGATAGTTTCACCCACGTACACTTTCCGCATTTCAGAGAGAATATCCCCGGCCGTTCCCACTGTACAGAAGCAAAAACAGCGATAGCTGTGTTCCCCTGGTCTCTCTCTCTGTCTCCCTGTGTGTCTGTGTCTCAGTGCAACCTGATGGAGAGGAGTAGGGGATCTGACTGCAAGTACATTGCCAAACGGGAAGACTCCTGCTCGCTAGTTTCTCCCTGTCTTGAGAGGCTTGTGTGTGTGTGTGTGTGTGTGTGAGAGAGAGAGAGAGAGTGTGTGAGGGAGCTCTCTCTCTCTGCCTCTCAAAGCCTTCTGATGTTTATAGAGCGCCGGTCACAACCTGTTGCCTGTGTTCGAGAGGGAGCCACATTTTAACGAGAGAGGGCGCCATCTACAGACAGAGCTGAAAGACTCAAAAACCTCAGCAAGTCGCAGCAGGATTTCTACACAGCGACTCGAGTTACTGTTCCTAAAATACAATTTTTCCAAATGGAATTGCAAGTGTTTATTCAATTTACAAACATAAAGACCGCTGCTTTACATTGCACTGGAGTTTCCCCCACTGCTTTGCTGTTTGATAATTATTTTAAAACTTTTTTTGGTGGAATGATTCAAATGTTAGATTATTCGAGAAGGCACATGCGGTTATAAAATAATCGGATCTGTAAATTAAGCAGCATTTCAGCACTACCTCCTCCCCACACGCACACCCCGACACAACACAAGCCTTTCCCATCTTCTAAATAAACTGAAAACACTTGTTCGTCGGCCAGAGGGGGACCATCGCAAGTTTGTTCCCTGCTCTTCCCAGGCTTTGGGAAACAAGTTTCAGGGCGAAATCGGAGCCGTCCGTGCCCGCTGTCTCAAGCAGGCTCTCCCTCTGCCTCTTGCATCCCTGAGTCTGCAGTCTCTGTGTGTATGTATGTTATAGCAGACGCTGCACTACTCCAGTCAACCACCGGGAGGGCTGGGAGGAAGCACAGTTCTGCGGAGACAGGGGGCTGGAGAATTTCAAACCTTCTCCAGATTAGAGAGAAATAAACCATACAATAAAAAAGAGCTGCAAGTTTAGCGTGCGTAAACGGAGAAATGATTTAAAATATGATTTTGGAAGAAAAAAAGTGTCCACGTTGCCTCTTTCAACAAATAAGATAAAGTACATGTTTTACATTTTGCACTTTGGATGTGGATATTGCTCTCCCCATCAGCAGCCTCACTCCCCCATTTATTACTGTTCAGCTCCTGCGAGAGGAGGGTTAAACTGTCTTTCCTTCGCCCACTCCTTTGGTTGCAACGAGGTTAATATTTTGTAAAAACAGAGGGAAATGTGGGTGCTATAAATCAGAAACAAATTGCTGGAAAATCTCAGCAGATCTGGCAGTATGTGCAGAGAGAAATCAGGGTTAATGTTTCAGGTCCAGTGACCGTTCCTCAGAAATCTGAGAAGTGGTCACTCGACCCGAAACAACAAGGTGTAGAGCTGGATGAACACAGCAGGCCAAGCAGCAGCTGTGTTCATCCAGCTCTACACCTTGTTGTCTCGGATTCTCCAGCATCTGCAGTTCCTACTATCTCTAACTCGACCCGAAACATTGGTTTTCCAGCAATTTATCTGATTTTTTTTAATAACGTTCACAGGACGTGGATGTTGCTGGCTAAACAGGCATTTATTGACATCAGGGAGGCAATGGCCTGGTGGTATCATCGCTGGACTGTTAATCCAGAGACCCAGATAATGTTCTGGGAACTCGGGTACAAATCCCACAGTGGAAAATGGTAGAATTTGAATTCAATATAAATATCTGGAATTAGTAATCTAATGACACCCATGAATCCATTGCCAATTGTTGGGGAAAAACCCATCTGGTTCACTAATGCCCTGTAGGGAAGGAAACTGCCATCCTTACCTGGCATACATTTGACTCCAGCCCCACAGCAATGTAGTTGACTCTGAACTGCCCTCTAGGCAATTAGGGATGTGCAATAAATGCTGACTAGCCAGCAACGCCCTCATCTGGTTGATGAATTAAAAACAAAATTGCCCACAGAGCAGTTAACAGTAGACAAACAGGGGACAAACAGGAGGCTGGAAGAACACAGCAGGCCAGGCAGCATCTGAAGGAAAGGAGCAGTCAACTTTTCGAGTACTACCCTTCTTCAACCACATTGCTGTGGGTCTGGAGTCGCTTGCAGACCAGACCAAACCAGGTAAGGATGGCGGGTTGGGCGTTTTCCCAACAATTGACAGTGGTTGCATTGGCATAATTAGAGTCTTAATGCTTTATTGAAATACCAGGATGTTACCCAGACTGCAAGGTTTGAGTTATAAGGAGGGCTGGGACTTTTATCCCTGCAGCATAGAAGGCTGAGGGGGAGAACCTTATAGAGGTTTATAAAATCATAAGGGGCCTAGATAAGGTGAATAACCAAAGTCTTTTCCCCAGGATAGGAGAGTCCAAAAATAGAGGGTTAATGTTGAAGATGAGAGGGGAATGATTCAAAAGGCACCTGAGAAGCAACTTTTTCACACAGAGGCTGGTGAATGTAAGGAATGAGCTGCCAGAAGAAGTGATAGAGGGGGGTGTAATTACAATATTTACAAGACATTTGGACAGGTACATGGATAGGAAGGGTTTAGAGGGATATGGGCCAAATGCTGGCAAGTAGGACTAGTCCATTTAGGAAACCTGTTCAGAACGGATGGGTTGGACTGAAGGGCCTGTGCTGTATGACTCTATGATGGTATAAGTTTTACCGTCTGTCATGGTGGGATTTGAACTCTGGTTTGTCTCTGGATTATTAGTTGAGCAATAATACCACTAGGCTCTCATCTCAAACTTTATAAGAGCCATTTCCTTGTGGTTGCCTTTCTCCTGGACACAAGTGAACTTATGTTTTAAAAAGAACCAATTTAGACTAGTCTTTCTTGAACTAACTAAGACAGTGAGTTTATTAATGATTACATGTGAGAATTACTAACGCAGCACACATATGTTGAAATAAGAGGGGAGTCCAAATAGATTAAAGATAAAATAATATAGATATTTTTGAATTGTTTATCAAGAGCAGAAAGAAGTGTGTTATGGCAGTTGCATTGGAGGTCACTGCTAGCGGTAACGTTGGTAGTTGATCAGTTGGTTTCACAATCCTTAGTTTTGCAGATTAGTTGAAATTCTGTTGTTCTGATTCCTTTTGACCGTGATTGAATTCCAGCATTCAGGATGAGGGAGAGCCCTTTGCCATCCTGTTCCCTTTTGTTTGCCTGCAAACAACTGACAGCTAACTCTCAGAATGAAGACAGTTTTTATCTGCAACATAGCATTCTCAAAACCAGGCTGGTATATATAAAGATGGCAGGAACTGCAGATGCTGGAGTTAGAGATAACACAGTGTGGAGCTGCAGGAGCACAGCAGGTCAGGTAGCATCAGAGGAGCGGGAGAGTTGACATTTCGGGTCAGGACCCTTCTTCAAAAAGAGCCTTCTGAAGAGGGATCCCGAACCAAAACATCGACTCTCCTGCTCCTCTGATGCTGCCTGACCTGCTGTGTTCCTCCAGCTCCACACTGTGTTGTCTCTGATATACATAAATATTTTCAGTTCCACAAGCACATAGCAGTACAGTCGAAACCAGCTTTTTAACTCCTGTCCTTTTGTATTCTTCAAAGGGAAAAACACAATATGTATCTGCAGTATGCGGGGTGGTTTGCTGCAAAGGGTCAATCGTCTCTCGTAACTCTGTAGTGAAGTAAGATCACAGGCCCCTCTGTTTTGATCTGCTTCTCCTCCTTTTTGAAGGGCTGTTCTTCATATCCATAATGTGACTTTCTGTGGCTCTCTCTCTCTCTTCAGACAGCCACTTAATTTACATCTGTTGCCATGTTTTGGTTGCATCATCCTCCTAAAAAGAAGGAAATTTGGAATTGTAAGTTAAAAATGCCTACAATACTTTGAAGGTCTTAGTTGCCCAGAGGGTAGTTAAAAGATCAGTCACATTGCTGTGGATTTCGACTCACAGAGAAGGATGGCACCTTTCCTTCACTGCAGGACATTAATGAACCAGGTGGGCTTTTACAACAACAATGATTACATGGTCACCATTAGCCCAACTGTGAAGCCCAGATTTTTTGTTTTATGGAATTCATATTTCAGCATCTGCCATAATGAGATTTAATCCCCTATGTCCAGAATAACGACCTTGGAGCTCAAGATTACTAGCGCAGTGATGTTACCACTACACCATCTGTCACTGTAAAAGTTAATGTGACTGGTACAATTTGATTTGTGCGATGTAAAAGACATCAAAGAATAGTTACTGCACTGATGGACGCCATTCATCCCAACACATCCTAACCAGCTTCTGGAAAGAATAATAAAAGCAAAACACTGCAGATGCTGGAAATCTGAAACAAACACAGAGAACGCTAGAGAAATGCAATAACCCCTACATCTTCAGGAGTGAAACAGAGTCAATGTTTCAAGCCCAGTATGACTCCTTTTCAGAAACCTGAGTGCCTTTAGCATTCTCTGTGTTTGTTCCTGCAACAACAGCTTAGCTGGTCCCACTTCTGTGATATTTCCCTTTTGGTTTGCACTATATTTTCTCCTCAGGATGATCTAATTTTCCTTTCAAAGCCAGTTGAATCTCCTTTCATCACACTCCCAGGCAGCAAATTGCAAATCCTAACTCCACGCTAAATTATTTTATTCATTTGTGGGATGTGGGTGTCACTGGCTAGTCGAGCATTTATTGCCCGTCCCTAGTTGCCCCTTGAGAAGATGGTGGTGAGCTGCTTTTTCAAGACCATGTAGAACCACAATGCTGTTAGGCAAGGAATTCCAGAATTTTGACCCAGCGACAGTAAAACAATAGTGATATATTTCCGAGTCAGGATGGAGAAAATGCTAAAAACAAAAATTGCTGGAAAAACTCAACAAGTCTAGCAGCATCTGTGGAGAGAAAGTAGAGTTAATGTTTCGGATTCTGAACAAAGGTCACTGAAGCCAAAATGTTAATCCTGCTCTGTCTCCATGGATGATGCCAGACCTGCTGAGTTTTTCTAGAAATTTCTGTTTTTGTTTCTGATTTCCAGCATCCATTTCTTTGGTTTTTTTTTGGCAGAGAATTTTTTTTGTCATTTTGCTGTTACTTCTTTAGCCAAACACTTTAACTTGGTGCACTCTGGTTCTTGACCTTAGTGGATACGATTTCTCCCGATCTATCCTGTCCCACCCCTCATGACTTTGAATACATGTATCAAATCTCCTCTCAACCATCCCTTCTCTACGGACTACAAGACTATGGGTAAAGCACTGGAAAATGAAAAGACAATAGTTAGGTGATTGATTTTGACTGGTGCCAATATGATGGGCTGAAGGGCCTTTTTCTGTGCTGTAAATCTCTATGACTCTGTGACTATGATGGCTGATGGTGGAATTTGAATTCAA